GGCTGGGTGCCTCCTTTTGCTCCTGGTGCTTGTACCTAATAACAAACATAAAGAACCTACTGTAGTTTTGAGACCTTTGGGAGGACCAGAGTGATTTCTCTTTTCTCTAGCACCCTACCCACCCACTCTTTAGCTGTTGTCTTGTGCATTTTGCCCCACCTATCATTACACTGCCGCAGAAAGGCCCTCACAAGTTTCTGTTGTCAGACACCCTGGGCCCCTCTGCCCTCACCTTTCTTCTTAGCAGCATTTGATAGGGATGTATCCCCTCCATCCTCTTCTGGTTGATCTCTCGTCAGTTCCCTGAGTCCACCTCAGGCAAAGGCTTCCTGTTCACATTCACTGGCCATTCTTTCCAGTCTCTCAGCTAGCTCCTTTTCTAACCAAACTCCATCTCTTTGGAGCTCTTGTTTTCTCCATTTCTTCTGTAGCCATCCCTATATCAGGAAGTGGCACCACCATCTAGCTAATTACTCAAACAAAACTATTTAAAGATATTAGTTCCAGTCTAATTCACCAAGTTGTTTCTCCAAAATGTATCCTCAGTTTACTTTTCTCTCAGGTCTCTAGCCCAGTGCCTGTCATATAAGAGGCTTTCAGTAGGAAATAGTCAAATGAGTGATATCGATAGAAAACCAAGGGTCGTGTGAAAAAAAGACGTGGGCTCTTTAAAAATGCCATGAAAGGCAAAAGCCAGGGGATTATTAAAAGTTGGGGGAGCATGTCTGTAAATTGTAGTACTTGGGAGGATGAGGCAGGAGGGTCAGAAGTTCAAGGCCAACCTCCACTTCATGGTAAGTTCAAAGCCAACCTGAGTTGTATGAGACCCTGCCTCAACAACAATAGCAACAAAATAAAAGACATGAAAAAATATATGCAGTGCATATTTAGTATTTAGGGATAATTGGGGAAGTTTGAATATGGCCTGTGTGGCTTAATATTGTATCAGTGGGATTAGAGAGGGTGGGAAATTGTTTTTAGGAAGGACAGGTTGAGGTTTTGAAGGGTATGCCTCCATAGCTGCTTTCATGTAGCAGGAAGGAGGGAGGAGGAGAACAGTGCAGCCACACGTTCACAGTTGTTGGATACAGGTGCAGGGTATGAGTCCTAACTGTGCTGCTATTGTACTATAGATTTGAAAAGTGAAAAATAAAAAATTGGGAAAAAATAGCAATGAAAATAAATTTAATGAAAATATAGTTCAGAGTAAATTTTAAGCTCCCAAGTCTGAGATCCATCTTGAAACATACTATTAAATATAGCATAGTACACGTCTACACAATTACAGGGAGAAAATATGACAGAGTGGGAACCAGACCTTTTTGGAAAAGTTACCTTGTTATAAGGAAAAAAAAAAAAAAAAAAAAAGACAAATTGGTGTGAAAGTGGATTTCTTTTGGCCACCAGAGGGCAGTGCAGACAGTGAGTCCCTGTCCACAGCAGGCCACTCAGAGCTGTGATTTTCTTTGCCTCAATAACTGGCTCCACCTGAGGGTGCTATTCTCTGCAGAAAACATCTGTAGAGTTCTTAGACCTCTTCAGAAGACATAATTATATTGCTTCCCATTCCTTTTAACACACACACGTTTCTCACTCTGGATTTTGGGAGCCTTTGGGCATGAGAAATAAAGAGCTCCAAAGACCAATAACACATTCGCCTGAGCCCACTAGTGTGTCGAGATTTTTGTCTTTTTATTATGAACTGTCAAATCATAATCTTACTGCAGTTAATCTTTAGATTTCCAAGGATCTATTTTACTTACCCAGAGAAGATGCATTAATGTAAATGTTACAGAAAAATTTCTAGCAAATTAAAACTTTATTCTGTGCTAAGTGGTTTTTCTTTCTCCTAAGCTCCATGCTTGTGGAGCTAGGTTACACCAATAGAATTAAAAACTACAGAGGTTAAGAGAGAGTTAGCTTCAAGCCCTTGAGGTACATGATTAGATGAAGGGTCTGGAAGGCAAGCCACAAACAAATGTAGACAAGGCCTTTGGAAGTAGGTAGTAAATTCAAATAAAGACAAAGTGCCTCGGCCTGAGGGGGGCAGGTAAGTGAGGATCTGTGCTGGTTGAAATGGAGGCTGTCTCCTATCTTGTCTTGGCTCACTCAGAATCTTGCTTAGAAGGGCTTAAAGGTCTAGTACAGCATCATTGATGGGAAGTTGTTCTTGTGTTTAGGAAGTACAGGCTAAGGTTTCTAATGGTATCCTATAATAGCTGCATTCATTTCAAGTGGCTCAGAAGAAGGCTTTTCTTGGGAAGGAGAAGGGAGAAAACAAGTGCAATAAAATACTAACGGTTGTTGAATACAGGTGAAGGCACTCTGTCCCTGGATGGCTTGTCCTTATCATCTTCAAGTGCATTAAGTACCTTTCCTGTGTTCTGTTGCTCTGTCTTACAGCATACCAGTCACAATTGTTAATTTGTATGTGTGTCTCTCTTGAGGACAAAGATGGATGACTGACAGATTGGTGCATTCTCCCATGCTGTTCTCATTCAGACCTGCATGTATTTTCAGATGGGATCATCTCCATCTCCCCGTCCCCCTCCTCCTCCTCCTCCCGCTCCTCCCCTCCCCCCTCCTCCTCCGTTATTTTATCTTGTTTCTTAACTACAATGCCATAGACTTGCTGGAATGCTTAACAGTAAAGGCAGAAAAAGGAGCTAGCCCTGCAGGCCTTCTTTCTATTGAACAGTATACTTGCTGTGTTGGATGCTTTGTGAGCATCTTCTCACTTCGTCTTGGTCTTACAGCAAATACAGCACACTCCTTCCATTTCAGATCTCTTCCCCTTGTGAGTTCCTCTCCTGGGCTCTGTTTATCTTCAAGTCCTTAAGAAGGTAGCTTCTTTTCTGATAACAAATATGAATAGTTTATAAATCATTCTTCTTAATTTTACTAGGTTGGTTATTTATTAGGTTGGTCACCCCTCTCAGCAGTGGGTTGGGCCTCAAGGATAGAAGGAGCCGAGACCTTGCTGGGTTCTTTGACTTCCTCCTCACCTCTCTTTCCTTGCCCTTCCAGCTGCTCCCCCAGGACCACTGTCCTGTTACTGGATGCCCCAACTTAGTTTAGTAAATATCATTATTATAATTGTTTTACTTCTACCTCATTATAACTGGCAATGAGTGCCATCCAGACCCCATCTCTTCTTGGAAGCCGAGGGGCTGTGCATTTTGGTTAGTCTTCCTCTTGAGACTGGGCTTTCTTGCCATCTGTTAGCCTTGTTCCTCATATCCTGTAATTAGATCAGACATTTATAAACAAACATACAATCACAGACTCCTTAACAACAGTTATACATTCTGTAAAGTGTGTTATTAGGTGATTTTATCACTGCACAACATAATAGAACATACCAAAACTAAGACAGCTATGATGCCATTAGACAATATAATTTTATGGGACCCCCATCATACATGAGGTACATCTTTAACAAATGTCATTAGGTAGCCCATGGCTGTCTACTTAATAAAAGCCTCAGAGAATTTTTAAAAACAAATTTAGAATTAAAACACTATAACCCAGTCTTCAAGAGGCAGTCAGGAAAATCTCTGCAAGATTGAGGCCAGCTTGGTCCACATAGTGACTTCCAGGAAGACTGGGACTAGGGAGACCTTGTCGACAAAAATACAAAACCAAAACCCAAACCCAAACAACACAGCAACAGAAAACCCCACTATAACCAAGTGTTTGGATTCTGATACCATGAATTCTCAGTCTTACCCATTCTTTCTAAAAACTGTATTTCATTGTTTTTATTGTATGTGTATGAGTATATTGCCTACATGTATGTAAGTGCACCCATATTGTGTAATGCCTGCAGAGGAGAGAGGAAAACACTAGATCCCCTGGAACTAGAGTTAGCCGTCATGTGGGTGCTGGGAGTCAAACGCAGGTCCTTTGCAAGAACAGCCAGTATTGTTAACTGCTGAGTCATCTCTCCAGCCCCAAGTCTTATCCATTCTTAAAGACTCATTTTAGTCTTCTCTGCTTTGACTTCCTGTGGTGTATACTCTTCAATTTAACCATTAGTGTAGACAATTGTATGTGTTGTTTAATTGCTTTCTGCATCTGTACCTCATATAACCAGTGAGATGGCAAAATGCCAGTTGATTGAAAAGTTACTTTTTAAAGGACATTTGAAGCAAGATATTTCTAAACAGTTTATTTTTGCTAATGGAATTTTACTTATCTTCTTTAAAGTAATTTTAAAATTATTCAACTAGGGACTGGGGAGATAACTTGGTGGTAAAGTATGTGCTTAGCATGTGTGAGGCTCAGGATTTGATTCTTGCACCACTGAAAAATAAAATAAGCCATTCACTTTTGCTTACAGACTTTCACATTTAAATGCACGATTATTATTTTCCACATTTTTGTATTCGTATTCTCAGTATTAAGACAACTAATATTACTGTGTTCAGGCGTATAATACTCCAAGGAAGTGTTTCAGGAAAGAAATACTTCCTGTAGCTTATTTGTAAAAGGCCATTTGAGAAAGTACAGCCATTTTAATCTTTTAGAGGACTTCGGAGCAGGCTTTTATAGTTGCTGTATTAAAGTAATTTTTATACTTGTATAGCAAATTTTCAAAGATTTATTTGCCAAACTATACTATTTTACTAGCTATAATTATCTAAGCTTCCTAATTATATGTTGAACCTTTCTAATTCTTATTAGAGCTGTTTCTTCCCGGCAAAGCTTAAACATCAGTTAGGTTAGCCTCTAAATTTATAATATTATTAAATTCATCTGACCTGGTTACTGAGCTTATTTCAGACATCAGACTGATAGTTATCATGAAGCCATTAAAATATTCCAATTTAAAAACTGACCTTTTAGACTCACTGTCTTTAATCTGCTAGTTTATGCTTAACAGACCTACTCTTAAAAAGTAGCTTGATTTTTAAAATGTATTTTCAAAACCGAAAGGACTTACAAAATGTTTATAGGGCAAAATGCCTCTAAAAACTGACATTCTCTTTTCTTTATAGAGATACTTCCTAGTTGGAAACAATCATGCGGAAACGAAATACCGTGTCTTGAAAATTGATAGAACAGAGCCAAAAGATTTGGTCATAATTGATGATCGAGTGAGTATCAAATCCTCAGCAAACGAAGCTTTAATATGTGTCGTTCGAATTCTGTGAAATATCCTTACAGCTTCTAGTACTAAATTATTTTTTATCCTACATCTAAATTGCAGTTATTGTTCTTGTCTGACTAGTATTTGGATCTCTAATCTACTTTCTAGAAATTACTAATGTTGAGAAGTTAGCCAGAATTATACTTTGTCTTTCAATTTGATTTTTTTCTCAAGACAAACTCTCCCAATATGATAATGAATGTATTTTCTTAAGCATTTGACATTTTAAAGATTCGGTATAACTTAATATTGCATCTACCAAAGAGGTCGTGTATTACTGTGTAGTATGAAGGTTCTTGGAACCAGGGAAGACATCTATACTACAGACTTTTATTAGGCTAATGGAAATCATGTCTGAGCCCTTTTCTGATAGTTTGTTATACATTAAAGAAATAATAAACTATTATTATCTAGAACCTGTGTTATCTAGACTCAGGAGTACAGAGACTTAATTCAAGTGGTACAGAAACACTTGGCTGTTAGTCAAAAGTAAAATTTAGCATAGTGATGTTGCATAGTTATTTTTTCAAATGAAAGAACCTGCCCTTTGTATTGAAGTTTTGATATGAATATTTCTGAATCCATAGATTCTTCTTTTCTCAAGCACATTAGTAATTACAGTTTTAAATAATTTTTTATTAAACTCTATAGAGATATTTTCTGTGTTGTAACAAGTTTGGATAAATTCATTATTATGATTTATGATTTCCTGCAGTCCTCCTGAGAGTCTATCCCCCTGGATCTGCCTGGAAACTCTTATTAATGTAATGTAATGGCTCTTGCTTTACTTGGGAGTGGAGATGATTGATCAGGGACACCTTTGAGAAGCTTAACAGTTATGGGCCTTCTCAAAAATGCACATCTGTCCAAGGTTTTGCATATCATTTCAAGGGATTCACAGAAGTATTGAAATCTTTAAGTCAGTCCTAAATCCAGAGTATAAAATTCTGACACAAATTTTCAGCATAGCCTGGTCACCGATCTTAATTCTTAATGTTAATGAACTTGTTAGCATTCTTTAATTACATTATACAGCTAATATTTGTTTACATTACATTACACAGCTAATAAGTCATATGTTATATAGCTAATAAGTCTTACAGGCAATGTTCAGTTTTCATACGTAAAAAATAAGCTGAAGAGTAAGTACAACTTTACAGATGGCATATGCTTATTTTTCAGCATGTGTACACTCAACAAGAAGTGCGGGAACTTCTTGGCCGCCTGGATTTAGGAAATAGAACAAAGATGGGACAGAAAGGATCCTCTGGATTATTTCGGGCAGTCTCAGCTTTTGGTATTGTAGGTAAGAATGTGCCCCCTCTTGCTGTTTGTTTGCTTACTTGTTTTCACATAAACTCCTTAAAGAGAGGTTGCAAAGCTGTATAGCTTTATAGTTATAACATTACCTGTGGCTTTGGTTTTAAACTTAATTAGCCATCAGTCAGGTATCAGACAACATCTATACAATATCTGATCATTTGGTCAGCAAGGCTCAGTTTACGTAGGATACTAGCAGATATAGAAATGTTTTATGAACTTTGAGGAATCTACTCTTTGACTTGTGGAATGAAAAGTAAAACTTAGTTTGAGCTATAAACATCTGCTCTGCCACTCATCAGTTGGAATGACAGATGTAGTAAAGCTAGCAACAGGAACTTCTCCTAAGGGTAGGCTACAGCCAGTGTCAGAGCCCCTGCTTTGGATGGTAATTGCTTTCTTACTCCCTGAGAAACTTTCTTGAAAATTGCAGACCAGAAGCAGCTTTCCTATTTAAAATTGTGGTAGTGAGATAAAACATCCCACCCTTACCTGCACAATCTAAGTCACTGTGACACAGAAACACAGCTTCAATGTACAAGTTCTGCAGAACTTCAGATAAGGAATGCCACAGCCCTGCTGGCTTTGTTGTTTTTGAGGAAACCAGGCTCTTAGTCTTCAAAGACCCGATACTGATCTCTTTAAGTACAGTTTGCCTTGGCTTGAGCCTGTTCTTTACATTTTTTTCTCAAGCTCTGTCCTCCTTTCCTTTCCTTGAGATACTATGTGGTTCTGTATCATGATAGATCATTAAACCTGTCTTTACTGAACAATGTCATATTAGTTACTTTTTCTCATGGCTGTGACAAAGTACCTGACAAAAGTTTACTCTGACTCACACTTGAAGGGCATGGACCATCATAGGTAGTATGAGGGAGCTGGTCACATGGCATTCACAGGCAAGAAGCAGAGAGAGAGAGAGAGAGGAATGCTGCCTCTCAGCTTGCATTCTCCTATTTTTTCCTTTTTATTCAATCCTGGATCCCTGCCCAGGGGTAGTGCTGCTGCTTTCAGGGTGGCTCTTCCCACCACAGTTAAATCTTTCTGGAAATGGCCTTGCAGACATGCCCAGAGGTTTGTCTCCTAGGTGGCTCTAAATCCTGTTGTGTTGATAAGGACTAACCATCACAAATGGTTTTGTGCCTGATTGGGCTAAGGCATAGGACAGAAATCAGTGCATACAAAGCAATTTCAGTACTTTAATTAAGAGCTAATAATACTAAAAGTTAAGTTGTGTTGGAGATTTCATTACTTGGATCTGGAATGGGCAAGAAAGATTTCTGGGGATAGATGGTTGAATTGGATCCTGAGGATGGAGTGCTGAAAGAAGAAAGGAACTCCATTAGGTAGGTGGTGGTACAGAGGTGCAGGCAGAAAGAGGCCAACAAGAGCTGGAATGTTGGGGAGTAGTCATCATGGTGATTAAGTAACACAAAGGGAAAGCAAATTATTGAATTACATTAAAGTACCTGCCCTTGGATTACATTGTGTTACATTGGATTGTTTGCTTTAAATTAAATGGCCTCTAGACTACTATAATGTTGGTTTTTCTTGTACATTGGTAAGTTTTCATTGTTCTTGGCATGTTTACTTTTAACATTATTCTTTGCCTAAATTTTTATCTGTTGATAACCAAGATTACAAAACTAGAAGGCTTATTTGAATCAACTGATAACCAGGTATTTATTTTACCCCCACATAAACTCTGGGCAGGAGCTAAAGGGTGTCTTGATGTTTCTTTTCTTATAGGTGATGTACCTAACTATTTCTCTTACAGTTTGAGGCCTCTGGCTTGAGACTGTTCTTAGATGGTGAAGACACTGAAAGACTCCCTTATAAGTAAAATGACATGATACTGAACTGAATACAATTATTATTTTATGGAGATACATTTCATATGTTCTGGTTTCCCTGTGTAAATAATGTTTCAGACCAGTGAAGAGTAAATACAACACTAATACAAGTCTCTGATTTTTCTAGTCTTGTCTTAGAAATAACAAGGGAAACTGAAATTGTAGAACATAAAATACTTATCTTTGAAAATAAAGTATCATCTAGTTGTCAAAATAAAATGTGTGGAATGATTAGAATGGTACATTGCATTCTAAAATACTTTCTCTACACTTTAAGCATCCCTAATTTGTGAGTATTTTTGTTGGAATATTTTGAATGATTGTCATGTGAACTTATTGTCCAGTCTATAAGAATTGAGACCAGTGCTTCACAACTCTTTGTAGTCAAGCACCAGCCTCCACCACCAGTATTCACTCCACAGACCTATGCATGATGCTGTGATTCACAACTTGTATGCAGATTGCACCATGAGTGACTGAAAACACCATTCTTTGATACACAAACCAGTCTATGTTCTGTTCGAAGAAAGTTGATCAATCATGCATACAGGTATTGTGGCAATCTCAAAGGCTCTGAAGTTTCTAAACCCTTTTTCTCAATTTATTTACTTGTCTTTTCTTGGTACTGAAAACATTTGGACCAGCACTACTCCCTAGATGCTATTTACTGACCTACAGGGTTTTCTCTGCTGTGAATGTGGGTTGCTTCAGTCCTGTAGCCATCTTGCTAATTTCTGACCTGCTTGTTATTTCCTGACCAGCAGTAAGTGTGAGAAACCACTGCATGGGATTGTGAGCACCTTCAGAAAGTTGTTTCATCTGGTCCTAGAGTGTATTATCAGCTCTGGGGCCATCCTAGACCCTTCTGATACACAGTCCTTAAGTATGTGTCCTTTTCTTGCCTGCATTACTTGTAACAGAATACCCTTTTGGTATGTTGAGAGGCAGTAGGAAAATAAACATGAGCTTAGCAGCTACTTAAACAACACCATTAAAGACAGGTGGGAGATCCAAGGTCACATTGAAAATAATAGTCAATTGTAAGCCTCCGAGTAGTTCCAGATCAGCATGATTTGGTTTTAGACGTGCCACTTTGATTCTCCAGAGCCAAGTTGTGGGAAAGTCCTAGGTTCCTTGTGGGGTTTTCATATTTCCCTGCTGGAGTGCTGCTCTTGCAGAAGGTGTTCAAATCATAGCCGGCTGCCACATTGCATTGCTTCTGGTTCGTGAGTGGTAGAGTTCTGTTTAGCCCATGCCACACACTGCATTCATGCTTACTTTGTCCAGGGCCCCTCTCAAGGGACATAGCCTTCTTTACTTTGTAGAGAGAGAAACCTCTTTTGGCTGAGTACTATTTTCTTGTCTTTTAGAAAGTACTTGCTGAAATTGGTCTAGAGTCAGGAGCATAGGGAATGAAGATGAAAAAAATGTTAATAGTTTTTCAAGAGTGCTGAATAGACTGGTTCTTGGTCAATGTCTGACCAAACAAAAGCCTTTAGTTGTAGTTATATTGGACAGGACTCTTTTTAAAAAGAGCAGCATTAGTAATTGGGTAGTAAGAAGAAAGAGGGAAATAATCTCAATAATATGCTAAAGTCATATATGCCAGAAGTCTCTTGTGTAAAGTATATTGACTTTCCTTCATACAAAATATGAAGTGAAATGTAGATTGATATAAATAGGTCAGAGCAAAAAAGCATAAAATAAAACCAGTTAGAATGCTGGTTGAGAGAAGTTGTTACAGAGAATATTAAAAGTAAGCATATAGCTTCTAGTTCGATCCATTTACCTGCAAATTTCATGATTTCATCTTTCTTTACTGCTGAGTAAAACACCATCGTGTAAATGAACCACATTTTCATTATCTACTTGTCTATACTAAGTGAAGTAACACAGACTCAGAAAAAAAAATCGACATGTTCTCCCTCATATGTGGATCCTAGAACCAAACCCTGATAAGTGAGTATGTATCCAGACATAACTACAGGAACCAGGATAATGGAAAGGAACCTGGGAAGTAAAGGAAAAGAAAGAACCTGAAAGGGAAGAACAGTAGGAAACAGGCCTTAATAAGGGAGATATGGATAAAAATTGGGCTAGTTCAAGGGGATGGAAAGGGAAGGGTATACAAGGAACCTAGGAGATAAGGGGAAAGAAGGAGCTCAAGAGAGGTAGGACCATAGGAGAAGGGTATTAGTAAGGGAGAAAGGGAGGAAATGGGGGCACCTTAATGCTCCTTAATGGGAGCATCTCTCCTTAATTGGGGAGATTTTCTTTAAAGGGTAAAAACTTATTCAGTTTTATGTCTTACAGGGTTTATAACAAGTTCAATATTGTATGACTGTATTAATTCAACTGTGAACGTAAAAATTTACAGCCACCTTTGAAAGAGATGTACCCTTGGTCCGGAATGTGTTACTGAATATGTTAAAGCTGTAATGAAATGCTTCTTCTAACCATGTGGTTATTAAATTTAAAAAAATTTTTTAAAAACTTAAAAAATAAGCATATAGCAAGAATAGATAGAAAACTTATTTTGAAAATCAATATCTCTTCTTTCTTCCCCCTCCCTCCTTCTTCTTCTCTCCCTTTATCTGTGTTTTGAGACAGAGTCTGTCTCTGTAGCTCTTACTGGCCTTGAACTCACTATGTAGCCCAGGCTGCCTCAGCCTTCCTAGTGCTGGGGTTAGAGGAGTGAGCCGCTGTGTCTGGTGGAAATATTTAGTTCCTAAATCCTATTTGATTCTCTTCTGAGTTTTTGTATATTACTTCTAACAGTCTTACTTAAAATTTTTTAATTGATTTTTTGGCAATTTTCATACAATATATCTTAATCATATTTAGACCCCCTCCTCTATTTACACCCTCCTTATGGCCCCCCACAAGATTTTCTGCATTCTGTCATATATGTTAAGGCCTATCAAGCCAAGTTTGTGTCCCCAAATGTCCCTTGTCCACTGGAGCCTGGTCAACCTATCTAGCATGACTCACTTCAAGATCAACTCTCCCTTGCCCAGTAGTCATCAGTTGCTAATAGTTTCTCAGGTAAGTTGGGGCTTTTTACCCATTTCCATACTTCTATGCTGGGTTTTTGTCTGGTTTGAGTTTCCATTGGTCTTATGAATGCTGCCAT